TCCACTGGAGTATATTTTCCTTTCTTTTTCTCTTATATTTTTCATATTCCTCATTTTATCTTGTCTTAGTAAAAAATGATGGTAATAAGTAGATTGTGAGATAGTAGGAATTTATTTTTTATCCTCTTCATGTTTTAGCACAGCAGCAAGGACACTTCTGAGTATGGGGCATCAGGCTTTGAGGAAGATGTGATTGATGTAGAGTTCTTATTTAACTACATCACTTGTAACTGCCTGATATAATCAAAGCAACATCAGATTTTATAGCTGACAAAAAATGCTTATGCTGTTTGATGGAAGCATAAGAAATAGCTTGTTATATGGGTAACTGTCACTGAATTGGGGAGTATAAGAGTCAGTGAGGAGAGGTTGGTTGGTTTTGTTTCCTGTTATGACTGCTATTTCACCTACTTTCTGATTTCTCAGATTTTGCTAAAGTAAAGCCACACAACTCCACTGTTAGCCGTTGTACTTCGGAGACGACCTTTGTCACATTTTTAAATCCTACATAAAGATTTATCAGGAAAATTGGCAAAACGTCTGTGGACTTCTTGATAATGGACTTCAGTGCATTGTACAAACTGTGTTCGTTGTGTCACTGAACATCTGCAGAGCTGCCCTTTCAGACAGGCACTGTGTGTCGCTGATGAAGTTTGCACTGGCACTGCAAATGAGCTCCTGTATGGGGCTTGCTGTCCTCAGCTGGGTGAGGAGTGGGAAGGCTACAGTGCTTCATCAGCAATGCTCTGGAAACATAACATTTTTCATTTTTTTCTTAAATTCTAATGCATCCTGGACACTTAGAGGGGACAGTAGTTATTGTCGTACCTTATGCATACAGATTCAAACCTAAGCAGATAAAACACTTTGACGGAGACTAGAATTAGTCTGTCACCAGAGTAAATCTACCACCCCCTTCTCAGGAAGGGCACTGTGTGGGCATGAGGTCCTCAACTTCAGCCCTCCTGCTCTTCAGATCCCTTCCCATTGCACTGTGCAGCTTGCTCATGTAGATGCAGCCAGTCTGTAGTAAAAATAAATAATTGAAATCACAACAATCAGAATTTTAGGTAACTGACATTCACATAAACATATTTAAATGTGCTTTACATTTGTCGGTCTTTCCAGGCTTTTCCTGTTTGTTTATTTGTTTGGCTTTGTCTTCAAAAATAGAAGACCACGTGAAAAAAAAGAAGCTCAAAATAATCCTAGGGGTTTTTTTAAAAGAAAAGGTCCTCCAGATTGTCAAGGGAAACATGTAGAAAGGTATTTGAACACTTCTCTATTATTTCAAAATAATTTGAATATCCTACTAGACAGAATGAAGTAACAGGTTTTTTTCTAAATATTAACTCTATATATATTATCATTGACAAAACTTATGTTCTTACTGGTGAAATGATGCTTTCCTTGCTTTCCTGGCTTTTCTTGCTATAGACAAACTAATGGTTTCTCTTAAACATGTACTAACACTTCAGTATTGCATTATACAAGGTTTTATTTTTATGAAGTTTCAGTTAACTGTACTTCTCAAAGAAGAAAACATAACATGGTTCTGCCTAGAGCCCCTTTACAACTCTACTGAGGATGCATTTGTTTGATTCATCCATCTATAAAATCTCAGAGATTTTAGTAAGGCAGTCTAAAATATTTAAAATCTGCTACGCTTTAAGTTAACTTTCAATATTTTTTCAAAGACAGCATGGGATTTCAGCTGAATAACAGAATGATGTGTTTTGGAGTATACTTATTATGTTGGCTAATACCACTGGAACTGCACAAAGAAGGACTCAAAAGAGCAGGAAAGTGAATAGATCTATTACTTTGAGTGCACAATTAATCTTGTTGACATTATTTTATATGAACATGGATAAAAATGCCCGGAAAGCATACAATTGAATTCCACTGCTCATTAATATTGATCAAACGTTGTTGTTCTCTTTGTGTTGGAAGCCACTTAAAGATTACCTGTAAAAGTATTACAGTGCTATTGATTTAAAAAAACCCAAATCCCTGAAGTCCACTGTTTTTTGAAAATTACTTGACAAGTTTTATTTTTTATTTTTTTGTTAAAGAACAATGTTTTTGAATTTGCTGCTATAGATCTGAGTAACTGAGAATATTACTCAGATTGTCAGGGAATTAATTATCCAGCAGTCAATACAATGTTATTTAAAAACCTCTACGTCCCAATGGAAGTTAGTTGGGACCTCTCATCATCTGGCAGCAGTGCCTATATCTTACGTACCATTTTTGATGCTTAAATGGAATGATGCCAGGATTAGGGCTCAGATCTTTGAAGACACTCTGACCTGCATAACTTGCATCAGGGATACTGTAGACTCAGTGAAAAAAATATATATAAAAAAAATCATACGGTTGATGGTTCATGCAATTTAAATATCCTGAAGATGTGTGAACTCACAGGTATGGTCCTCTGGAGAATTAGGAGAAAAAAGGTGTGATGATACAGGCTTTTTAAAGTTGCAATCATTCATTCTTTTAGAATGCAAATGAGACTAATTCATGTCCTGTTTAGGAAATGAATGTTAGCTTGTGAAAATTAGATTATTATTGTTTACTAGTTTCAGTGAATTTAATGAAATTGTTTCATTGCTCTCAAAATAATTTTTTAACTACCGGTTTCTATTAACAACAACAAAAAAAAAAAAAACCAAAAAAAAACCAAACAAAAAACAAAAAACAACAACAAAAAAAGGCAAGTCACAAAGTAAAATTAGTCAACATTTAGATTGAAAATACTGTTATATGACTATGACCAAATTAGAACTATAATCAGGGGAATGAAAGTGTTCATATTGTCTGTGTGGAGCTTTTTTTCAGTGGGAAGTTATCATAGAAGACTAAGATTAGTTAGAAATACTGGCATGCACCAGTATATTTATTACTGTGCACCTCAAATGACCTTTTAAGCCTTTGTACTTTGGACTGATCTGAGAAAATGCAAAATCTAAAGAAAATCAATGAAAGTATGCTGAACATGTGCTCAACAAGCCATATGGAGAAAGCAGCAAGCAAAATGAGAAAGTAATTATTAAAAGATTTATTGTTCTTGGAAGATTAGAGACCCGTTTGCATAGAAATAATTAAGATATGAGGCTACCTGCAGGTACTCCCAAAAACTGCTGCACTGTGATAGAGACTTGAAAAAAAATACACAGCTCATATTCATTGGGAGACCAAGAGTGCAAATTATTAGAACATGTTCCTTCCCAAATTATTGCAGAGGAGAAATAACATGAACAGAAGCTGTGATACTTGAAAGCCGTGAGTCTTCCTAGACCTGTTAAAGGACTGATATACGTTTTCTGGAATTAAGAATGTAGTGTACCATTACATTTAGAGTGTAATACAGAATGTGGATGGGAAAAGGAAAAAAAAAGCAACAGCCAGTCTCCTTTTTATCTTCATAATTTTTGCCTTTTTTTTACAATTAATTGCGTTTAGAATAAGGTGCTATATATTCATGTCTTTTATTTACTGGGTTCAGTTAGACATATCCCATGTTTAATGATGTGCACAAGCGTAACTTCTGCAGGTTTGTGTCCTGGAATAAACTGATGACATAAGTTGTAATAGAAATGTGTACATGGATAGTTTCCTAAATCGCTATAACCACCCAAGCAATTCTAACGGGGGAGTGTGTTCTAACATCCTTGTCATTCTGTTAATTTTTATCTTCCACAAATTAGTATTTTCTTAGAGAGTGCAGTTTTCACTAATGTGATGTTCTGAATGAATGCTGTTGCTGTGAACATCTGTCAAACCTTGGGTTTGTAATTGCAAACATAAACTAATAGGCAGACCCTCAGAAACATTAAACTTGTAGCTCTTTTAAGTTTAAAACATTCAGTTCCTAGTGCTGATTGTCAGTAAATGATGCTGTGGCAACATACTATTTTCTGTTGGGATTTTTTTTTTTTTTTTAAAAAAAAAAAAGAATTTTAAGTGGGTGAATAACTATGACAGTGCATTTCAATAAGTGAAGATTAACACCTTTTTGTGGACATGGCAATGATTGCAAATAATATTTTATATTGAATTCACAAATCTTTTCACACACTAACTTGCGCATGGGGCTTTCTAATCAATGATTACCAGTTCTTTAAAGTGAGATTGGAAGAAAAAGTCATCAAAATGCTAAAGTGTTTTCTTCTGGTAGGAGGTATGTTACAGATAGCGTTAGTAAAATAATAAAATGTAAAAGGCTTTTAACACGTGCCATCAGATGAATAAACTTTAGACCTCAGTTCAAAACATGCTATTATTTAAATGTATGTGTAGTCATTGCTAACCTGAAAGATTAGATCTCATTGCTGAAATTTTAGGTATCCCTAGCATGTACTTAGTTGGGGGGAAGAAAAAAAAAAAAAAAAAAAAAAAAAAAAAAAAAAAAAAAAAGCATAGTCAGAAGACCTTTTTGAGATCGGTTTGAAGTGAATATGCTAAAAAGTCACTCAGTGGAAAAGGGATCATTGGTGTAGTAGCTGCTAACTGCTGGCCCAGATGATAGTCACATATTCATAAAGTCACCCAAAGCCATAGCAAAGATCTCAAACTACTAGCTTGACATGTAGTGATTATTCAGAGATATTGCACATGTCACTCTGTACATGATAGGCATGTTTGATTAATACATATTTCCTCAGTGGTATAAAAGTTAGAATGCCTGTTATCTTTAATAGGAGAGCAAGATTTAGCTTCTCTGTCTGCTGTCTTCTCTTACATTAAAAAATAATGTTGTGATTAATGAGTAGTGACATGCTACATATTTTTTCTTGTTCATAAAAATCTGAGCTGGCAAGTTATCTGAACTAAGTGAAGGATATATTTGAGGGGGTTAGTGCAATGTGAAAGTCTACATAAGGGATTTTATTTCTTTAATGAATACATATAAATGACTGAAATGATTATGATTGTTATTAGATATGTATGTATGTGTATATATATACTGATCTTTTCTTTCCCCCCTCTCTCAGGACCCTGCCTGCCTAATCCATGTCATAATGGTGGGATATGTGAAATCAGTGAAGCGTACCGAGGCGACACATTCATAGGATATGTTTGTAAATGTCCGGATGGATTTAATGGGATTCACTGCCAGCACAGTAAGTTCCACATGGTAACTTTTATTGTATTTATAGATAGGAGCTTTTTTATTGCTTGCAGTGCTGCGGATTAATATCAGATCTGGTTTTCTGAGGTGTATCAATCTTTCACCTTTCTATTATGAGCAAGCTAATACTACTGAATACTAATACTACTACCTTCAGAAAATGACCTTACTTCAAACTTACTGGACGCAACAGTACATAATTTGCTAGGCATATTCTAGAGCATGGTAAGGAAAAGTAAGCGCATTTAGGATAGATTTAATGAAAAAGCATATTTGAAATAGTAGGGAACTCTTCTTATCTTGGACATTTGTGTGTTTGATTAACACTAGACAAAAGTGGAAAGAATAACTGAACGTAATTTGTGAATAAATGTATGTTTTAGAATTTTCTTTCCTATGCATTTATAAATTATGAAGAGATGTTTTGAAATACTGTACTTAAATTCAGGGGCAAAAGTTCCAGACTTAAATTGGATGTACAGTGAATGACGTTTAAAATACAGTATCTGAACCTGGTTTTATTTTCCTGGTTTAGGGTCAGATCGGGAACAGCCAGTCAGTATCCTGGTCTTAGAGTGTGTAGTTAGAGAAATGACAAGTAGCCATATGGGAGGGAAAAAAAACCAAAACAAAACAAAACAAACAAACCACCAACCAAATTTGAGATTTCAGTAATATCTCCTGGTGGGATTATAGCAAGATCTACACTTCACCAACCAAAAATTTTAAGAATACCTGTTGCATTTTTTTTTGTGCTCATACTGAAAATTACAGGTCCCTGTTTCTCTAATTAATGTCATCAAAGTTCTGTGTGATCAAACCCAATTAGTAAGACCTATGCATGTACATCTGCAAGTGACTGATCAGATTGTGTTCTAACCTATAAACGTAATTTACATTATCTATTTGTCACTTAAATTGAAGCTGTTTTGTTGTTTGTTTTGTTTGGTTTTTTTTTTTCATATGTAAAACTCATTTAGAACAAGTGCTTGCCTAAGGAGAAACTTGTGTGCCAAATTGGTGTTTTATTTTGTGCAATAAAGCGCAGCATGGTTCTTAAAATCCCATGTTATTGATGCATTTGGAAGCCAACCGTTAGTCGGTTAGAAGGTTAAAAACTCAAACAAACAGTCAAGAATCCAGTTCCATTTCACATGAAAGATAAATCCAGTCATTCAAATCAGAGTGAATAAGCACTGAATCCAGTCTACCTTAATTAAGTGCCCATTTAGATACTTGTCTATAATTTGAAGTGTCAGGAACCAATACAGTCCAGCTCATATAACTACTTGCGTTCATTATGTTCCTTATATACTCAATGGAAAGTGTCTCCAAAGACCTCAATATGGATATTCAATTTCATTAACATTGGCCACACTCTCCCCTCAGTTAATTACGTAGGTAACATAGGCCGTCCCACTGACTTGATCGAGTTAAAATATGTGTCTATCTCTTCTACTGGGAACATGGAAATATTGGATATTATCCATTCCTTTGGGATCTGTTCCGTCTAGCCCTGATTCTGGGGGTGGCCTTCTAGTGGAGCTGACTGCCAGCAACAGCCATACTGACTTTCTTTTGGTATAATGGTCATATCATTAGAGCACTCAGTCAAGACAGGGGACTGAGTTCATCATGTAATCGTGATGGCAAAAGATAGTCATTGGCAGCCTTTAAATCGTATAGCCAGGAGTTCACAAGTCTCAAGACTAGAGGAGCTGGCAAGAGTATGGCTAGCTGTTACCCAGTAGTTATACCAGCTTAAAAATTATCCCTGGGCTAAATCATGAGTGCAGTACCTTGTGGTTCCAGACCCTGGTCCTCATACTTCATGCATTTCACATGAGTCTGCCACCTGATAAGTGGAGCATGTCATTGGAGAGTGGAAAGACAAAGCTGTAGCTTCATCCTTGTGAGTGCTGTAAGTGAGCATACAGATAGTCCACTTCTTTGTGCCATTGATGTCTAGTCATATGGAGGAGCTTGTGTGAAAACATCCTTATGCAGCCTAACGTTCTCAGGCATCCTCCATCATGGGACCAGTCACATAGTCAGTGTGTGATGCACAATGCTTCTCCTTCCATTTAATGTCAAAGAGGGGACCTTTGTTAAGGAGGCAATGAAATGAGTAACAGCACAAATTTTCATCAAGCGAAATGCATGCTGAGGGTGTCCTGTCTGGAAAATATCATCTCTTGTTGCCTAAATTAATGAAAAAAATCATATAGTAGTGTATCATACAGTAATTCATTGTAGTTTTTTTTCTGGGTCATCGGTATCCTTTTAAAAATATTCAGTTATGTAACAGTTAACTAACAATCCTGATAATCAGCAACATGTATTTATACCAACTTCAGAATAGAGTTCTCATGGGGTGATTCAGATTTATTGTGGAGAGACTAGAACCCGAGAAGGCAGCTAAATTGATTTGAGATAAGACAAGTTTATGTGAACAGTTACTCTTTGGGGGGAGAATGAAATTCAGTCCTTTTCAGATAATCTGATTTAAGATGTGATAATAAAACATACACAGTATATAGGTGTTCAGAGGGTCTCTAAGGATGTCAGCTATAAGAAGCAGTGGAGGAGGTCTCTGCAGTCAGGAAGAAGTATGGGACTTCCAGTGATGGACTTAATATAACTCTTTTATATGATAACCCTTTAGCTCACTTCACAAAGTTCCTTTGGTACAAATTCCTCTGCTTCATAAAGTTTAGCAATTCAATTCTGAACTCACTGTAAATCAAGTAAGAAGTCTGTCAAAGTAGTTCTATCATAAAAAGGTAAATTAAAATGATCTCATTGCAGAACATGTATCTTCATCTAAACTGTTAAGAGTTCCAGAAATCACATTATACCTCCCTTGTACAAGGTTTTTTATCTTGGATTTCTTTCATGTCTAATATTCTGTTGCTAAATCAATTAAGCTAGGTGATTGATTTGGCAGTTGAGATACATTCCCAAAGCTGGTATTCTGTCATTTGCATCAACATCCTGTCAATATTTCTAAGATTCCTTGACCTTTTACCCATGTAAGTAAGTAATATGTAAATTATAAAAGAGATCATTAGCAATTTCACTGATTGTATAGTCTAGATTTATTGCAAAACTGATATTAATTGGCAGACGTTGTCTGAAAAGATTCTGATTCCCCAGTGGCAAAAAAGGAAAACAAAGTTTCCCCTTTCAGGGCTCATAAACTAACCAATGTTTGGATTGGAAAGTCTACCTCAGGTGGAAACCTGGGCAGATTTTTGTGGTAATACACAAGAACAATACGTTCTTGAATTCTTCCTCTGTTATTTAAGAGGCATTTCATATCTGATTGGTATGAAGATTCTTCCCGAACTCTGTCCAGGTTGCAGTCTGTCATACTGTTAATGTGTGGTGCCCTGGCTCTCAAATGCACTACTCACAGTATCTAGCGACGAGAAGAGAAGAGTTGTTTGTGAAAATGACCTTGAGGTAAGGCAAGTCTCCCTACAGTCTTACTACACTGAGAAAGAAGCTCTTCCAGATAGTAGCTTAGAGCACCTAAATTCCTGAAAATAGCCTACAACTCATGCCCAGGAAGACCAAGGCATACTCTGCAGTGGTGATGCTCATTCATAGGAGCAGGAAATAATTTTGTTCTTTCACTATCACTTTGACTGAAAGCTATGTAAATATATGGCCCTGTCATTCACCAGAAAGAAGCATGAAATTGTTGGATTTTATAATTCCCTTTTCTTTAGCTGTGGATTTCAAGTCAATATTCTGGGATCTTTTCAACTTTTATTGAAGAAAGCCTACTACTATTCATGAACCAGCATCTGTTGTTGAACTATCAACCTCACTAGTCACTCATGACAGATGAAAATGCTGGACAAACAGTTGCTGTTCAGATAACTAATGTCTTCATCTACATTATATACAGGGATTATACTGTCACCTATTAAAATAACCTAGAAATACAGATCTGCAGAACAACTCAAAATCCATGGAAATAGCCAGAAGAATTAAATAGTCAGTTGTTCAAAAAAAAAAAAAATAAAAAAAAATCTGTAACCTTGAGAGCTATAGACAATATACATTACTGTGATTATCAGATAGAGACTGCTTGCTGAGGAAACTGAGTCATTAGTAACAATATATGTCAAAGTGTGGGTTTCTGGCTGCCACATAACTAACTGAAATGACATGGAGATCCAACCAGAAAAAATCAAGTTTGAAACAATAAAGAGTTCAGATTTAAGAGTTTGATTTGGATGTGGGTTTATATTCTGGGGATCATTAACTCTGTCAGTCATAACTAAATGCCTTGCAGTCCAAGAAGAATAAAGGTTATTAATCAAACACATTTAATAATGTAAGCAAGCTCTTCTCAGTGTTTTGTAGAGTTCTTCTTTCTACGTCCCTGTCATAGATGTTCTGTGGTATTTACATCTGCTACGTTAGCGTATTGGGAAACTGCACGGATGGGGGCCATGTGGCAGAGCATCAGCTCACATTCTGATTGTACGTTGAGGCATCATCTCAACTACACATAGGGCAGTGGCTTTTAGCTGTGGGGCTGCAACTAGAAAGGCCAGTGGCCATGCATTTCTGGCCAGCTGATGAAATGCATCATCTACAGCTTCAACTCTACCAGCAAATTCAAATCCTGGTAACTTTTCTAGGTACTAGGAAGAAATACATGTGAGGAAGCTGTTGAACATCGCGTGGCATGGATTTTGTTTGTTACAATGAGTGAGTGTTCTTGCTAAACCATTCCTGGCTGCAGTTTGGTGGCAGAGCGCTCCTGAAGCCATTCCCCACCAGTGGTTTTCATGCAGTTGTCTTGTTTTTGAGGCAAAACCCAGTTGTATCTGACATAGATGCAGCTTGTTCCAAGCCAGCTGTCTCCCTAGCTGAGTAGGTAATTTTAATGTACTAGGGTACATTACCAGATGTTCATCCCATGCTTCTGCTGATAAACACTGACAATGGTTTCTCCTTTGGGAAGAAATATCT